GAGGAAAAGGGGAAGCGGGAATGCTATGGGGATGACAGCCCCCAGCCACTTCCCTGGAGTTAGGGTGGTGGTACCTGGGGACAAGCAAGGAGCTCCCTCAGACTTGGCCAGGGCTCTCCAGCACTCCTTGGAAGGAGCCATGGAAAGCAGAACGAGGAACACTAAGAGGGTGGCAGGGCCCAACTGGAGTTAGGGTGGTAGCACACGGGGACAAGCAAGGAGCCCCTCAGGCTCTTGGAAGAAGCCATGGAAAGTGGAATCAGGAGGTCTAAGGGGATGACAGGGGATAGCAGTTGCTTCCTGGGAGTTGGGGTGGTGGCACCTGGGGACAAGCAAGGAGCTCACTGAGGCTTGGCCAGGGCTTTCTAACATTCCCTGGAAGGAGGCATGGAAAGGGGAACCAGGAACCCTAGGGGGATGACAGGGCCCAGTTGCTTCCCAGCCTGAGAAGGGTGACAAGGTTGGAGCTGGGGTGGTGGCACCTGGGTGCAAACAAGATGCTCAGTGAGGCTTGGCTGGGGCTTTCCAGCACTCCTGGAGAGGAGACATGGAAAAGGGAATCAGGACTCCTGAGGGGAACAGGGACCAACTGGTTCCCTGGAGTTGGGGTGGTAGCACCTGGAGATAAGCAAGCAGCTCACTGAGGCTTGGCCGGGGCTCTCCCGCATTCTCTGGGAGGAGCCAGGGAAAGGGGAATCAAGAATCCCAAGGGGATTGCCAGGGCTCAGCTGCTTCCTGGCCTTGGGAAGGGTGACAGGGATGAAGTCAGGGTGGTAGCACCTGGGGACAAGCAAGGAGCCGCCTCTGGGTCTGGGGAGGAGCCACAGAAAGGGGAACCAGGAACCCCAAAGGGATTACCAGGGCCCAGCTGCTTCTTGGCAGCAGGACATGCAGAGCCAAAATTCCAGGTGCCAGGAGCTACCCCAATCCCCCTGACCTGCCCCTTTTTTGAGGTCCTCATGGGGACAGTGGGACAGGCACAGCAGGTGATGGCAGGTGCCTCCTAGTTGTGCTCATTTGCATGTGATTTGCATATGCCTCCACAAATGGCTATTTCTGGGCCCTCTGGGGGTGGGGGATGCCCCATCACCCCTGGATCAGCCACCCCACGGGACACTGAGGCAGGAAGGGGGTGGGGCATGGTGCTGGCACATGGCGGTCACGGGTTTGGAGACCTGCTCACTGATAGGCCTGCAAGTGTCCCACAGATCCTGGGGTCTGGTTCCATGGGTCCCCAAACTTGGG